TATATATATATATACATATGTACAGAATTAGCATCATCATAATATAAGCATGGCAACTAACTAGAGCTTTAAACAGCGACACAGCCAAGGTTCGTGGATGATGAGGCGTGAAGTCTAGCAATCCTAACAACACTAGTAGTACTAGTCATACCAAACATAAGAATACTTGCCCCGCCAAGTCTTCCGAAGAATTGCCCTAAGACAATCAATGAAGAAAAGCAACAAACGGTCTAAGAACCCAAACTCCGAATCCACCACTTGAACCATCAGCTCTCGAGTCTCTGGCCGCCCCACTCGTCGGCGCCACCTGGCTGTCCATGCTTTGAGGCATCGGATTTCGGGTGCTGTAGGGTTCTGTCTGTTGAGGTAGGGGTTGAAGGCCAAGGGTTTATGGATTTGGGTTCCGGCTCAAGCCCTCGAGCCCACAGAAAGGGATCATCAACTTGGGGACCGCGGCTGTCCACTTGAGAAGGATGGATGGGGTCACAAACCCTTCACTCAATTTTGTACCTAAACCGATCGGTCTGTGCAAAATTCGGGACCTCTGCAAAGGACAACCTTGGATTGCGTGGAATATGGTTGCAAGCCCAACAAACTCAGACTGTTCAAGACTTGTAAGCAAAACCAACTGTGTTCATCTATTCCAGAATCCTCTCGGCCAGCCATCTCGCGAAATGTTGGCACAACGCTACAGCTCTCCGGTTGAACCCTCAACCTGCAGGTCTCATTGGTTGGACATGCTCTTGAAATCTCTGCCCCCCGAAACCGACATCCACAAGAGTACAGTCTACTGAACAAGACGAAGCCAAGTTCATGACCGCGGCGCTTCGCATGATTTTGAGGTCTGAGTGTGTCGGATTGGGTTCTGGAAGTCTTGCTAAACTCTCCGTCCAGGGATCAACCTGACCGGAAAATAGCACTCTGAAGCCCTACTGTCACGAAGGTTGCACGCAAAAGTCACTGTCAAAAGTCTGTGCTTGCACCTTGGCGTAGTGAAGTAGTGACTGTAGTGAAATCGTGCCTCCAAGCCCTCCGGTCCATCTTCAAGAATCCAGTCCCGTGGCCATAAACAACTTCCCGGCAGAGGGCCTGGACTTCTCCGCGAGGGGCGGCGGTCATATCTGTCCTCCTGCAACGCTTTGTGAAGTTTGAGGTTCAAGGTTTCAGGGCCTCGGGCTTTGGGGTTAAGGAGTTTAGGGCTGCGGCTTTAACGGTACTGCTTTAGGAGTTATATAGTTGGTTGAAGGTCTTCGGGTGCGAAGGGTTTCGGGGGATGTCCAGGCGTCCGACCGTTCTATACTCGCAACCACCAGGTAGTGTTGGTGACAGATTCCACAACTACGTGAACCGCTCAAGCGATCTAGAACCCTCCAGCCACCCATAGCCGCAGCCATCGCAAAGCAGAAGCCAAGTTCCATCCCTTGCTGGTCTCGTCTTTGGCTCGGAGCTTCACCATGCCAACCCCAAGTGACCAGACAGAGATGGTGTGGTGCCGGGCCGGTATTCGCCCAAACCGAGACGAACTAAAGTTCTTCGGGCTTACTGTTGAGGGGCTATGGTTTCGGGTTTATGGCATGCGGTTCAGGGCTTATGGTTGAGGGTTTATGGTTTCGGGTTGAGCGTTTAAGGTTCAGGCTTCTGGTAGAAGGTTCGGAGGGAAGCTTTCCAGAAATGTGGCTTGAGATGCCCATCCCTTGGCCAAGCACCCGTGCACGGTAGCCCCACACCCCTTACCCACCTACCCTGAAACTCTAACCGACATCCCAAAGCCTACAAGCAGCAAAATGCTAAAACCATTTAAGCAAAAGCCCAACAAGCCCTTGACCTCCAAACCCTGAAACCTTCAACCTGAAATCTTGCTGGAAACTTCAAACGAGACCCACGCCTCTGGGGTGTAGGGAACACCTGCAAGGGAGAGCCCCAGACATGTAGTTTCGGCGGTGTGGATTTGATTTGTTTTGTTTTTGTTTTTTTTGGTAATGGTGTTGTTTTATGTTTTGTGTGTGCGTGTGTGTGGGTGCGCGTGCCTCATGCTGAGGGTTCCTAGCGTGGCTTATTGGGGTTGTTGAGTCTATGGCTTTGGGTGCCCTAAAGGTTCGCTTGCGGTCGGGACCGCGTGGGAGGAGGCCTCACTCAAAGCACCACGGTTGTAGCTTGGTGGTAAGATTGTGGTTCCGCTTGAGGTACTTCTGCTTGCAGGCCTTGAGCATCAACTCATCAGCCCGGCGTGCTAGCTGGAAGTTTCAGAGGTTTTACGCAAGGGTTTAACGTGAGGATTAAGCGGTGAGCTTGCGAAACTGGAAGAGTCCCATCACGTTTGCAACCCTACATCAGAATCTGCACTACGAAGCTTACATTCATACCGCAAGGTCTGCGGTCGAATCTGGTGAGTTGCTCCATGCTCGGGAGTCGAGCGCTTAGGGTTGAAGCGGCTCGGGACTCGGGCTGAGCTGTTAGGGATTTCGCTTTAAGGGATTAGGTGTAATGATCATCGCCCTGCACGTCCTGAAGGCCTCAGATGGGAAAGGCTTCCATCGCTTTGAGCCCCCAAACCTCCAAAGTCCCAGCCCCCAAGCCTTCTCAACTTAACTAACACCCTCAACCCTAAAACCCTAAAACCCTAAAACCCTAAAACCCTAAAACCCTAAAACCCTAAAACCCTAAAACCCTAAAACCCTAAAACCCTAAAACCCTAAAACCCTAAAACCCTGAAGGTCGGAACTGTCCCGTGAGCGGAGGCTGAAGGGCTGGCCTCGATCTGGATATCCGCCATAGGAGCGTCCTGGTTCTCATGGGGTTTAGGGTTTAGTGGTTTAGGGTTCTGGGGTTGGGGTTTAGGGTATGGCAGATGCACAAGTGTAGGTAAAGACGGGGTTTGGTGCTCTTGTCTTAAGATTTCTTTGGGGGTGCTGAGTCTAATTCGGAGGAGCCAGAACAGGACACTTATTTCAACAACTCGCCCAACATATGGAGCTCGTGTCGGGCTTGATAGGGCTGCATAGACCGTAGAATGGACTTCGACAGGGCTAGGGGCTTGGGCTTCTTGGGAAAAAAGCTGACGGGGCACTCTGACCTCAAATGCCAGAGTTTCCCAAACTAAGCCCGAAAGCCTCGTAACCCAGACACCCTACAATCCCAACCGCTACGCCCTCTGAATCCTCAGCCCTCTGAGCCGTAAGTGCCCAAGAGCCTGAAATAGCCTGAACACGCTAGTCCTGCAAAGCCCTATACCGTCAAATACATGCAGGTTGCAGGCCCTCAATTGGGAAGGGTTTTCGAGAGTTCGAGCTCCGGCTTCGGGTTGCTTTCAGGCTTCGACGACCTCCCCCATGATTATTCCACTTTCTTCGAAGAGTTTGGGTGCGTTTTGGGTTTCGGGTTCAGGCCTGAAAGAGTAGGGTAGGAATTTCGGGACTCGGCTTAAGGTCTCAAAATTCTGGGAGTTCGGTCGTCTTGAGGGTGTCAAGCTGCAGGACTTGGGGATGCCTAGGATGAATGGTAGCCTTGGCTCTTGGCTTTGACTGGGAAGGTTCGGGGACGCTTTTTCGGGGTTTGGGGGGCATGGTTCGTAAGGATTGTAGTAGCCTTTCTCGTGCCACTCTAGAGTTGGGATTGGACGAAGCCCGCAGACCTTTCGTGGGCCCTGGCCTCTGCTCATGAACATGAGGAGATGACGATGATGGTGATGATCATTGGCGGTGGCGATACCGTGCATTGATGTTTCGTGCGTTGCTTAACCGTATCTGCCTTCCCCATGTGTCATGTCAGGCCTTACCCTGTCGTACTGATCATATGGAATGAGGTTCCACGGCAAGTAAGAATGCTCTGCAGGGTGTTGTGCACCAGAGCACAAACTGACGGGTGTCGCATGTAAGCTGCAAGGCTTTAGGTATGAGGGTACAGAGGTTGGAGAGCAAACTTCAGGATTTTGCATGTCCTGGGTCGCGATCGAGGTGCAGCGACTGTCGGTCGTATGGATCATCGTAGCCTCTTTTGACCACAGCCCTTGGCCCTGAAGCCTATCCCTTTGGTTGGTTTCTGCATGCTTCCGAACAGGGTAGTGTGAGCTTGTCAACCTTCGGGTGCCTACATTTTAGCCCAAGGTCGAGTGTGTTGACTGGTTTGATTCAAATTGAACTGTGAGGCTTCTTGGGCTTAAGGCTGCCCCCCCCCCCATACCTCAGCTTCGCCCCATGATGACAAAATGTCCACAAGAAGCAAGTGCTGCGGCCCTTCGTCGGTTTTGGAGTTTCAGGGGTCTGCAGACGCATGCAGCCAGAGCCCTGAACCCTAAAACCCTAGCTCCGGGAATCCTATCCCAGAATGATCAAGCTCTTCTGTATCGCTTGCTTCTGAAGATTCTTGCACATTGGGTGGTCAAGGGTCATCTGCCAAAAGGACACGACAAAGCGGTAGAGCTTGCTAGTTTGATGCCCCAATGAAGGCGACAAGTTGTTCACGAGGCTTAAACTCGAGGCCCTGGACCATAAATCCTGAACCCGCGGCCATCAAGCTTGAATCCCTATCGCCAACACTGGCCGCAGACAAACGGCCTGGATCCGAGTAGCCGGGATCCGGGTAGCCCCCGCCGTACCTCTTTTGTTTGGTCTCTCTCCAACACCCCTAGAGTAGGCTTTAAAGAGGACAGAGCTTCATGGCTGTGAGTGATTGCTCCGCCTTTCAGGCTCAGGGGAGGTTCTGTGTTCGCCGCTGAAACACAATCAAGCTCTGAACTGCAGTTACATGCAGCACCACTAACACCCAAACCTGCTCACCTGTTTGTTTGCAGATCCTTCTGAATCTGGGGCACCTAGCTTCCGACCTGAAACCAAGGAAAGTGAATGCTGCTCGGTGAAGATGTTCGTCTGGGAGAGCATCCGACAAACTATGAACTGCCACCGCAAAAAGCCTCAATAGCACTGCAAATAATGCTTCACAATGCGACAAGCCATGTTTAATTGTTGCCGAGCACAATGGGCCTGAAACTGGCCCCCTGGACACCAAACCGTGCCGAATGCTGTATATTGCAAACCTGCATTGAAACTCAAATTTCTTCGTGGCACGGGTCTCTTGCATTCGGGGACGGTGGCATCTGCATGGACGGTGAGCCTGCAAACGGTAAGTGCACATTGAGCTTGGTTTTTACAATCTATGAGTTCAGAATTCTCGGTCATGTGTTGGAAGCAGTAACGCTCGTGCCTGATGCTCGAAACCTTTTTGAGACCAACCCCGGAAAGAACGCTAAAGCTATACCGTTTCTGCTTCAAGAAGCATCAACACTTCCGGTTTCAGTCTCGGCCAGGTCTGATGAGACCTTACCCTGTGGAGCAGGGAACCGTCTCGATTCCAAACCTCTAGCCCAACTTGCTGATGGCTCTGTGCGTCGGGTTGAGGGAATCGTGTTTCGGAACTCTTGCTGAACAAGTATTTGACGAACGTTGAGCATGGCCGCGTAGAAAACAGTGTGTTGTTGCGCCTTGCACCTATAGCCCAAACCCGATGCCGAAGAAGTCCTGCCATAGTTTTACTACCATCGGCATTACTATTCCTCTTATCATATCATCATATCTTCTGAGCTTGAGAGTCTTGCTCGAAACCAAGCCCGGAACCTTCAAAGAGAAACCATGGCACCTCTGCAGTCTCAATTGTGGCCCTGACGCCAACAATTCCGGAGACCTAGGCCCTGCCAGCTACCGAATCCCAATCGGTTGGCATTTAAGGTGTTGCACTTCTCAGTGACGGAACACTAAGCTTCTTTCACGAACCCCGGATTTAAGTCTGTAAGACTCTAGGACAGTATTATTGCTTCCATAGCCAGAGCTGACACCGAGCCTTGCCCTTGCCAAACCTGACAACCACAAACAACCGAAGCTCCTCCCGGTGCTGGCTTCATAGTGGTCGCAAGTAGTAGGCCCGATGATCATGGTAGTATGTCCCGCCGCGAGAACAAACGCGGGTCCATAATGGAAGCCCTACAGCAAAAGCTCGTACAGCTCACACACTAAAACGCATCAGCATGTGCGTTGTCTCAGCGCTGGGAGTCCTAAACCGAAGCCCCAAACCCCACGAACTCCAAACCCCAAACTCGCACCCTAAAGCCCCCAACACCTGAGCGGGTCCGACCCTGTACCACCAAACGACCACCCTAGGCCCCTTTGTAAAAGCCTCGTCCCATTGCCATGCGCATGTCGAAGTCATCTCGTCCCTAGGCGAGGTAGTGTCAAGTAAGGCCCGATTGACAGAAAACCAACTCAGGGCCGCAGTTCTCAAGCCTCAGCCTGGGGGGCTCAGGATCACTCAAGGTTCCTTCAGGCCTGGATCTTCGGAGGCAGGATCTAGGAAGTCGGCCTTGTAAAATAGCTCAGTTTTCATATATGATCTCATCACCCGGCGCCCAAATTCCTACTAGGGCTGGGGCCTCCTTTGCCAAGCTTTCTATGACCTCAGCAACGGGCTTAGCAGTTCGGGTTGAGGGTGACGCCGGTCAACCCTCAGCCCTAAACTCCATAGACTCTAGTTCCCTGCCAAATGAGACAAGACTTCCAGGCTCTGCAGGCCGTAGACCCCAGAAGCTGAAAACGAAGCAGGGCCTGTAAGCTTTCACAGAAGGATGTCCACAACTTCATGCCGTTGACCTACAAAGTAGCTACGTGCATATGGATGCATGCAGGCATTTATACTCACATGTGCACAGAGATTTTTATGTTCTGCTAGGTTTACATGATTGTGTAAAGCTTATGCAGCCTGTTGGTGTGAACAAGAAACAGCCGCCACAACGATTGCGACCAGTTTCGCGGGCTCCTTCCTTTCTCTCTCTCTCTCTCTTCTCTCTTGCCTTTGCTCTTACTTATTGAGAGATGGGCGTAGACATTGTATACATGCATCTCGAATCGGTGCAGCGGGGGGCCTAATACAACAGCGGTAAGCAATATTGGTTTGCTGCGCAAAACCCTTTGGGAAGTCGGGCCCGCATGCCGCGGTCGCCACGCCGGTCAACGGCCTGGAACGAATCGCCGGCAGAGTTGGGCGCCATTCGGGCTTTTTAAGATGTAAGATTCAAGCTAACAAGGAAATAAATGACGATGACTGCGATGATGGTGTCTATCGCTCTTGCTCGGATTGCTGCTCGCATTGCACTGTCTATACTATGGCTTGATCTCAAAGGTGTTGTGGCTGTGGTCTTCTTCTTCATATACCTCGTCTCACTACAGCTACGGATTCCAGCTGAGTTCTGCACAGCTCATAAAAGTAACACTTGAAGCCAATGCTTTGTAGCAGATCAAGAGATCCACAACGTTAAAGTCCTAAGTCGAAGAGCCAACAGAACTCCAACCAATATTGCCATTACCAGCTTCTTCTTCTCATTATTAACCATGGAATAGTAGTGTTGCCACTACTGCTGCATTCCTCTGCGTTTGTGTCTTTGGTTTCGCGGCAGTGACTGGGGTGACATGCTACACTGCATTTTGAAGCAAAGTTCTTCGCACACCATGAGTGCGCTAGAAGGCTTGCCGTGGTGCTGGGAGGCCTTAAGTCAGGAGTCGCCAGGCTGGATGCGAGACTCACCCGAAAACAGGATCAACAAATTCAACTTTCAGATTCTCGGGTTTCGAGAAGACCGGAACTGAGCAGACGCAAGGCGCCTGCAGAAGGACGTTAGCTGATTTGATTCGATGCTAGACCCTGTACAGTTTAAGCCTTAACCCTCCATGCAAAGCCACATAACAAACCCTAAGCCCTTAAACTTAAGCACGAAGCCATCACAAATCCTAAAAGGATCCGAAACACCAACTTACCCTTGGACTTTTGTAAGGTACTGTAGCTTTGGCTTCCGGGTTCGGGCTTTACAGCTGAGGCTGCTAAGGTATGAAACGCTAGAAAATCGACATACTCATGAGCTTCGGCGCTGCAGCCGTCACCTACCGTCTCCACCGCCCTCTTCTTCTTCGTATCCCCCATCAGAACGAAGTTTCTTTCAGTTTAGAGAGCCTGCTAGCTGCTAGATTCTCCCTTTCGGGTATCCTTCAAAGGCCAGGAGATAGGACAGCAAGACGGCAAGATGAAGAGCAGGTTCTACAGTAACGAATTCTTTGCTAAGCCCTACCATCAGGGGCCTCTATTTTAGGGGCTATAAGGGGATGTCATTACTAACTATTGAGGGCTGAAAGAAACAACGCCGACCCTCAGCATTTTCAGCTCAATGGCATCTCAAAGCCGCAAAACACCGATATGGGTAGTTCTCTATTTAGGGTGCCTTTTTGGGCCCTTGTTCTAGCGGTGCCGTACTCTCTTGTTGTGACAGAAAAGAGGACCCTCATTTACAGAAGAAATCATATCCACAACAACTCCTCACTATTAGGGTTTAGTGTTTCGGGTCTCCTAGTCTGGGCCCTCCCGGCCATCGGAGGTCCGCGTTCGTACGGGTCGATGTCATAGCCGCGTTCCTGCGAAGCGCCAGCAGATGGGTTCGAAGGGCGGCACAATGAATTCCGCGAATTTTTGCCCGCTTACCCGGAAGTCCCCGTGGAGCAGCCCTAGGAGCCCAGCCTCAAAACCCCTCGAGCGAAGCCCCAGAACCAATTTACGACACATCAGACAACCCTGAATGCACGGAGGCTTAAGGTTCGGGGATATTTGCGGCTGACCTACGCCCTGCATATCCCCTGCACAGCTCCCAATTCCTGTGATTCAAACAGAAGCTCATATAGTACATTATGAAGACTCACTACGACTTGACTACACACCCCTTAAACCTCAACCCCTACAGACTAAGCAGTTTGGAGCTCCATAAACCCCGTCCTTAAAACTTTAACCATGCCCCTCAAGACTTGAAATTCTACGTCCCTTCGGTCCAACACAGCGTAGGATGTTCCATAGATCTTCGGGCTCATGCTATAATACACATTGACATGCAAAATAACTTGTAAAAAGGCTAGCCGGCTAACCCTGCGCAACCTTGAGCCCAGAAGACCCTAAATAGGGCTCACGGCCGAGGACCAGACTCCCTGAAAGGCTTGCGGCACCTTCAGCGAGCACTGAGTGTGCAAAAGGAAACAGGGCATGTAGTTTATGTGCTGATGCAGGGGATTGGAGAAGTCGAGGACTTGAGCTGTTGAGCGGATCTAAACGGCCTTCTTGGATTCCTAAAGCCTTGATCAACGTCTACAAAAAGCACTAGCGACGCCCTGGACTCGCTTTGTCTTAGTGTTTGATGATCGTAAACTCAGACTCCAGAAAGTTGGTGCTTCCGGCTGCGGGCCCCAAGTGGTGGGCTCACACGATTGATGATCGGGCAGAGTTCAAGCGAGGCCTGGTTGCGGGTGTACGAGCTCGAACCACTCGCTCGAACAAATTCATCCTGTTCACGGTGGTCTGGATGATTGGCATGGAACGCCGAGTTCCGAGCACAAATTTGGATAGTTTCGGGTTTCAGCGGTGACATCCTCAACTCTGAAGTCAATCCCAAACCCGCACCAAAATGCTACTGGTATCCTGAAGCCTAAACTCGGAGCCCTAAAGCCCAAGCGGAATGAGGCTAGTGCGGCTAGTGTTAAGTGGAGTTGGAGCTTTGGGGTTCACTATGTTTGGCTGGTGCTCAGGGCTTGCGGCTTACAGCTCCGAGGTATCCATGACCCTCAAACCTCTTCCGAGAGCCCTACACCGTTAAACCTCGCATCTTCAACCGTAAACTTCCCAGCCTCAGCCTCGGGTTTGGGCTTCCTAAATCCGAAACTCTATAAATCCTAGATCAAAAAAGGATCGTGCCAAAAAAAAGCAACTCAGGTGCCGGCCCGAGGTTCCATCGGAGGATACGGATCCTGCAGCTGGGAAGCTTTCCAGGATCTCGGGTTTTTGGTCCCTTGGCGCAGGGGAACAAAAGAATTTTGGAGGGTGTTCTGGGTGGTGAAGTAGTCAGATTGGCTTAAGAACAAAAGGGGATCTAAAGAGTCACCATTCGGACCTCCATGGTGAGACGTCGGGCCTTAGGCCCCGTGGGAGCTGCGGGGGCGAGACCTGATATAGAAGGCGCTGAGCCGAAGCTGCCAAAACCTTCTCACAGTACGCCTGTCTGAACACTTTGACCTCGCACCTGCAAAAACAAGCTCAAGGTATTTTCTCACCCCTCGTCTTCCGGAATCCTAACCCCGGAGTTTTGAAGCCTTTTTACCGTAAGCCCGTAATCCTAACTACACAACACTCAAGGCCTAGATTCCGAAACCCAGACTCCTCAATCTCGGCTCACCCGAAGCCACAAGGTCCCCGAAAGCCAAACTCCCCCAAAACCAAACGCACTGAAAGCAGGACGCGGCGCCTCGAACCTCGGGTCTCGTCCGCCATGCACCTCTTGGAAATACCACGCTTTTTCTGGGTGGAAGGGGTTCTTTTTGGCTTCACTACTGGTGTCTTTACTTCAAGGAGCCCCAGTCAGCTTGAAAGCGCTTTTTGGTTCTCGGTTTTATGGGCCCTTTTCGGTTTTGGGGTCCAGGGTTTTGGAAACTCGCGAGGAGACACGAGCGAGCCTAACTGCAAAAACGACCACCACAAAACTTTTGAGGGAGAGGCCAGAACTATTTGCAAAACCAGGGCCGTAGTGGTTTCCATACCTTGGCTGTATTTGGAAAATATGCGGGCGAATATTGAGACCAGCATTACAAACTCTTCAGTCAGTCTATTGATAACAGAACGCGCCTAGACTACAAGCAGCCCCCTATAGGAGTCCATTGCAAAAGCCACGTAATACATGGACAGTCACACTCGATCCTTGACCGCCTTACCCCCTTCGCCCCAAACCCTCCACCTCAGACCACACGAGTTGCCGGGCCATGAACTCCAAACCCCAATCCCGAGGCCGAATCATTGGCCTTCTTAATCATTAATTACACCCGAAACCTATAAACCCAAATATAAAATCCTGAACTCCCGGTGACGCCCCAGCTCACTGAACCCTTGGCGCCAAGGTGCCATGCCACGCTCCATCGGCATGGGCTCCGCCCGCATGGGTGGCCGACCTCCAACAAACGAGTTCCGAGTTGACGCTTCTTGCTTCAGGTCCTGGGGCTTAGGCGTTCAGGTTCGGGGAGTGATGCTTACATGGAGGGTCTAGGGCCTGGGGATTGTGCAGGTTCAGGGAATAAACGCCTTCCGCGAAAGCGTGATTATGGGTTGTGCTCTGTGCATGCAGCAGCTCATGAACCGCGCCAACTCTCAACCGGGCTTAAGGGTCACCGTGGCCTCCGCGGCCCATTGACGGAGACCAGTTCGGCGCTTCCCTGGTGATGGCACAAAAACTGGCGAGTAGACCGGAATAGAGTGTAGGGCTTTCGGGTTTGGGGTTGCAGGCTGTTCACTCTAGATCAGGTTTCGCGTGGTCACCTCCAAGGTCTTCATAAAATTATGGTAAACTCTTTGAGTCTGAAAGAAAACGTAGTCAAGCCCACCCAAGTGATCTGAGGGTGAGGGGGTGCACGACTAGCTCAATGCTCGGGTTGGGGCACCATAAGGTCCTAGAGCAGGGAGCATCTCGCAGCATCAGACTTAAATCTGCAGCATGTTGTGACTAGGTTTGAGACCTAAGACTCAGCTCAGGGCTCTAGAAGCAGCCTTTTCAATCCTTGCCCAAACAGCTTCAACTCTAACCTTCTCTTTCCCTTTCATCACTGCAGAACAGAGAACAACTGGTAACTCACAACAGCCCCAGGTCATCCTACAGTTGTATGAGAAATGCTTAGGGCTCGAGGTTTCCGGGTTTAGGGTTCAGGGTTCAGTAAGCCCGGTGCTCTAGACCACTCAAGCCCTGAACCCTGAAAATCTTTAACCCCGAATCCTAAGACTGGAAACAATGGAACCTGAAACCTCAACCCCCGAACCTGTGCCCTACATTCTAAGCCCTTCTAAGCCCTGCAAGCCTTTAGTGCCCAGCCTCTGACCCTTGGAAGAGGGCCAGCTCTGTGGCCCTTGGCCTCGGGAAAACCTTCGAGGGATGTTTGAGTGCTTTCAAACGATCTGTGACACCAACTTAGGAAAGGACTTATACTAATTTTCTAACTCAAAAAGTATACTTCTTGGGTCATTTGGGTTTTGCACGGTTTTGTGATTTAAGGCTGGCAGTTGGGGTCGCGTGCAGCATCTTCACGCTCGAGGGGGCTTGGGTATAGTTAAGACTTCTGGGACTTGCGGGGCCAGCTTAGGCTTGCATATGACGGGCCCGCTTCGAAGTTGAGGATTCATGCCTTGAGGCAGGGGCTTGGGGTTTAGGGCTGTCGGGGTGAAGGAGTTTGGCTTGAGGGACTTTAAGCTTCGGGACAGGTTTGGGGTTTCAGCAGGGCTTGATCATTCGGCTTGCAGATTTCGGGCTTTGGATTTTTGTATAGAGCTAGGGGGTGCAACTTCGACACTTGTGGCCACTTCCTTCACTGTTGGGCTGTAGCGTTTCGCGAATCGGCGAAAGCCCGAGGCTGAAGAAGGGTAGCAACAAAGGACTACATGCTCAGCGTAAGGTTTGAGCAAGTTAAGTTCAACTCTAACCGTAGAACTCGTTTGTGACTTCCTGTTCAGTAAGACTACCAGACGACCAGGGGCCACCAGCAAGAACGAGACACCCCGAGGTCTGCGGACCTGATCAAGCGAGATTTCCACGAATGCATTAGAGGGCAGAAGTTCTTGTCAAGCAAGCAGGGCTTCACAGCCAGCCATGCTGTGAAGGATGGTAGGAAGGGACCACAGCGCAGACGAAGCACAGATTTCGAGGAACAGGCAGTAAGATGCTTGTTGACGGAAATCGCACGCCGAAGGAAAGCTGTTGCAGGCACTGGGGCGCCGTCATACAAGTCGCCAGATCTGCGATGGCTACATTCGATTGTGGGACAATGCTGGAACGGTGCTCGACAGAACCCCAATAGTTTGCACGGAAAAAGTGAGATACCTGACCACACGGCCAACACCACGACTCGAAGCCCCCTTTCGACCCGCTCCTGAAATCATTCTTGATAAACCTTCGGAGCAACACACCACTGTCAAATCCTTCCCCCTCTCAGCAGCTCTGGGAAGCCGTGCTCTGGATCTATTGCTGTGTCCACATGCATCTGGCTCAGGAAGTCCTCGGAACCATCACCCAATTCATTCGGCGGAGGCTTCTTCTGAACAGGGTCTCTTGCAGCGGAATTTTCTCAGAATGCAGTCGATCACTGAAGCGGAACCCCACATCATACAGGGTCTATTTCGACATGCTTACAAGGTTCGGTCTACTCGGTTGAAAGATTCCATAAACAGGGGACTGGTTCCAAACTTGTTGTTTCTGGTAACAATCCTTGCTACCATGAGGGCTTGGTCCTGGTCGACGCGAGTTTCGGTTCATTGGCTCACATTGGCTACGCGGTAGGGTTTAGACTAAGCCGCCTAATACCAGGACGACGACGTCTACAGGTTCAGCTACTGCTACGACGTCGAGTACCACGGCTGATGCGATGACTGTGAAGAACAGCCGCGATTACAGCCAGTGATCTCATCTGATTGGAACATGATCTGCAACTCACAGGCTTACATACCTGGCAGGATCTGACTTTAAGGATACAAAAGCCCTTTTGCCGGGCACAGGGGTTTGCATGAAACCCTGTGGGTTTCCTCATAGTTCTCCGATTTGAGCAGACCAGACACTTCTGGTCGAAGAGGCCCCGGCGCGCTTCTGTCTTCGGACTTCGTCGTCGGGAAGGCGGCTTTGGAAGTGAGCCTGGTCGAGACGGTCGAGGGCCGACGCTTCGCTTGGGCCCAGTTTACAATTGCATTAGGACAATTATAAGGGCGCTTGGGGACGAGGGTTTCGCTATGGGATTCAAGACTCTGTTGTGCGTATCTACACGTCTCGCTTTGGCGTTACTGGCCTAGACTCAAGATGGGGTCACTCTACGTACTCTGTTGGGGACCCCGCTAGCACAGAAAACTCCTTTCTTGGGACTCCGAGACCGTCAACCCCTAAACTGCTCATGAAACCGTTGAGAACTTGGCGGTGACAGATATAACTTACAATGTACCAGGTGCGGTCTTTGTGATATGTCGCAGCATGCCCAGAGCCCTGAGCCCTCAAGCTTGCAGGATCTACTGTTCAAGGTTTTTGGGCTGCGCATGGCTGCGACAGAAGCCTGAGCAAAACAATCCCAACGCGGCTTCTTCGAGGCATGATGCTCGGGAAGATTCCGGTGGATCTATCACAGGACCACGAAAAAAGCAGCATTGGTTTGGCAATAAACACACTCGGCATGGGCCTGGCTGGCAGCATAGTCGATGAAGTTCACGCCGTCTCAGCAAAGGATGACATGGGAGATCTTCTTGCCTACGTGAGAGCCTTAAGACTTAACAACCTTATTCTTTTATGCCTAAAGTAGTCATGGTAGAGCGCAATCCGTAGCCAAAACTGCTGGTATAATCATTCAACCCTCGTTAAGTTTTGATTAAGTTTAAGAACAAGTAGCACCAGTAGTACTACAAAATGCAAACACACACAAGAAGACCTGCGAGTTGGAGTAATACAGAGTTTTGGCACGAAAACGTGCTAGTCATCACTGCCCCACAGCTCTCAGAGCTCAGCTGAAATCCGTCGTCCAACTTCTCCGGATGGCCAGCGCGCGACGCGCATTGAGCTCCTCTTTTCGGCCCCGGTTTTCTGGGTTAATATCAAGGGTCCAATATAGCCTTTGAGTTTTAGAAAGATAGGGCTTACGTAGTGTTCTAGAAGCATTTGCATGTCCCAGGAAGAAGACATTGCAAGACACGGCAGGAAGCTCTCATGAACCCACTTCCAAACCGAGAAGCATAGACAAGATACAGTCGTTGCACAGGCCAGATGGGAAGACCAGTTCAGAATCCGGAACATCCCTGCGAGGCTGCTGTGGATCCTAGAACCTTTGAACAACCTGAACCGTGCGCCCTGAAACCTGCAAGCTTGTATCCTGAGCTCTCCAGAACCCTCGTGAGCATTTTCTCGCCGCCCTAGCTTCTGAAGTCCAGGCCCCTTTTAGAAGTCCTCAACCCGAACTTCCAAACTCAAAACCTTCAGCCCACAGCCTTGGCCCTCAACCTCAAACCCTACTTTAATCCTTCTAAAACTGAATCGTGACATTAACTGACATTTCACACGATGCATCGAACATATGAGTCCATAGAGAATGGATGTTCACACGGATATATTACTGGTTAAAAAGCACGCATTATGACTGTGTCATTCGTTTCTCGCTACATACAGCAATACATCATAACACATAATAACACGTCAGAGGCAACAAGAGCTAGCTTTCGCAGGTCGTCCTCAATCCCCAGGTCCGTGAGGGTGTTGCTCCTTTAAATTTGAGGGGGTTGGGCCTTCGGCAACAGGTTTGGGGAGTTTAGGGCTGCATGCTTTGAACTCGGGCTTTCAAGGCCTCTTGATTCGCACCTAGGCTTGGATTCAGGCTTGCGGGTCGGTTCGTGCCGTGAATTCCAGATGCAGGGGTTCGCTTTGAAGGGTCGGGTTCAGGTCATGAGGCCAGGGGAAAGACATAGAATGGGGAATGTTAGGCGTGAGGCCCTGTGCTTCGTCTCATTTCTTTTTTGCAGTTTCCGCTCGCCCTTCTTCGTTATTCTGTTTCATTGTGCTTCACTGGTCTTATGGCTGGAGATTCTGAGGTTCGTGATTCACTCGTTGTATGGTTGAATGTCAGGGTGCCGGGCTTTGGAACCTTAAGATGGCATTTCGAGGATCCTGCTCGGGTGGAGGGGTTTCAACACTAACCTAGCCCCCAACCTAAGAAATCGGCTATGAAGAAGAATCCTAAGCCCAACACTGGACCCAACACCATGAAAACCCCGAACACAATGAAGCCCCACATCGATTTCAATTCTCCCTGAAGCCCTGAGGCACGCCTGAGCATCCTGTCAAAAAGCAGGCCATCAATCTGCCTCTTCTGGATCTGCTCCTGGTGCGTTGCTCTTTTTTCTCAAGGGCTTCAGGTCCAGGCTCGGGGCTACGGGTTCGCTGTCAACAAGGCCCGTGAGCCCTAGCCCCGAACTCTACATCCGACTCTTTCCACCTTCAAACCTTAACCTCCGGCGATGAACCCCAAGAGCGCTATCGGGTATGGTTCTCCGCGTTTCGGGCTTTCGGGGTTGCTGCACGATGGCGCATGGGCCTCAAGTCCTGAAATTTTGCAGGTTCTGAACGGGGTGTGTAGGGGATTGACGGCTCGCGCTTTTAGACCCTAAATCTCAGTTTTCCGAAACCCTTACGGTGACTGTTTCTAAATATGCGGACAAGTAAATAGATAAAACAAATATTTTATACTACCTCTGTGAGGGGTCGGGCGGGGCCGCCCGTTTTTTACATATACGGAAACGTTAGCGCTTTTTCCCGTCGACGCAGTCGTCCACACACACACACACACATCCTAACCAGGGATTTGCAACGGGAT